GGAAAGAACATATCAATATTCGCATATTCATTCAAAAACATGAAAATTCTTAATGGAGTACCCTCATTTTTTATTGAATTCTTAAAAAACAATATTTATAATGAATTTTAATAATTTTTTCGGATTTTTTTTAAGCTTTATTCTGGTCATTCACCCGATTCTCGATCCGGATCGCCGATTCGCCTATCCGGATCGGTTTTTTGGAAGCCCGATCGGGGTCACCGATCCGTTTTTTAAACCATTGGTTTATATAGAGCTGAGGCTCTAAACAATCAAATCAGAGAGCATCTAAAAAATTTCACTAAAAGATGTTGTTTTGATGCTCAAATATCTTCAAATTGATCATCTCGATATCAAGGTGCAAGGACATGAGAAAAAAATGGATTTCAAGTTTTGGAAATAGTGCATCTTATAATGCAGTTTTAAACTTTTAATTTTCAAGATTTTTTATTTTATATAGATATGCTCGATCTACATTAATTTTTAAACTTAAATTTTTATATTTAAAGATAAAAATCTGTTTTAAGGTTATCACAAATATTTTTAGTATTGAAAGCACATTTTTCGATATTATTTGAAAGTACGCTTTACTTTGATTGTTTAGAGCTTGGCTCTACACAAACCGCACCCAAATTAATAGCGTGTTTTGCGATCTTTATAAGCAAGGCTGGGATCGTTTCTTACTTATTATATGGCACACGCTAGTGATGCCATTGGAGTACAACTGGGGAGACGTCTTCAACCCATTGGCATCGGCGTATGTGCGGTGTAGTACTGTACATTTATTTCCTCAATTTAAGTAAAAGATTTTTAAGTGAAAAATTTTAAAGTTGTTTGGACCACATTGGAATGATTGAGGAGTGTTTCCAAATAAAATAAGAATATATATACATATATATATATATGAAAAAGTCTTTCCAACGTCTATAGGAAAAAATGAACAGAGATTTCGTCTACCTTCATCATCGTTCAAATTTCATCGCGCGGTCACAATTGTCCGGTAGTATTTTATTTTTCATTTTCTTTTACAATTCGGAATGATCTGAAATTTGGAGAGTATGTACATCTTATTGCGGCACATCTAATAAAAATATAAAAAAATTATTTGCAAAAAATAAGTTGACCAAAATACCTCCAAAATTTTTTGGAGGTATTTGGTCAAATTTTTCATGTAAAATATTTTTTTTATAATTTTGGGAAGATTCTCCTATTTTTGCTGAATACACGTTCCAAATTACAGGTCATTCCGATTTATAGAAAACAAATGAAAAATGAACACTATTGGACAATCGTGAGTGCACGATGAACTTTGGATGGTGAAGAGGGTAGGCGAAATCATTGTTCATTTTTTTCTATAGGCATTACGTAGTGTTTTCCTATTATATATATATAGATATAGATATAGAAAAAGTTTATATGAGGATGCTACCTTATAATGTAGAGCAGCTGATGCCCCTCAAAAATCCATCAGAAAATGTAGTTTTAATGTTGAAAAACCCTTTGATTGATCATCTCGATGTCAAGATATATGACTATGAAAAATAAAAAGATTTTAAGTATAAAAAATAGTGCATTTTTACAACATATTATGTACACCGTCTATTTTCAAGATTTTCATATATTTATAGATCTACTTGATTTTAACCATTTTTTAAATTTAAAATTTTATAATTAGATATAAAAATAGATTTTAAGATAATCCTAAAAACATTTTACGTCAAAATTATATACCATGATAAAATTTGAAGGTGCACATTACCTCTACACCTACGGATAGGTCCGTATGCAAACTGCACCCTATAGATAAATTCCTATTTTTTCAATAGATTAGAGAATTACATTTTTGAAGGTGTTAAATTGGGGGTGTTAGCGGTAGGAATGGATACCACCGTGTGGTAACTTGGTGTGGGAATACTACCACCACGACCCAGCCTCTTTCCTAAAAAAAGATTATATTCGGTTATAAATAATGCATGCTAATACAAAATAAATAAAAAGATTTCATATTCCCGTGGGAGCATTCTATCTCCCTCAAGCGAAACTAAATATTTTTTTGATCTTGGGTCCACTCTCTAGGCAAAGGGACCAGCAACCAAAAAAAAAAAAAAAAAAAATAATAATAATAATAATTACCACTCTTAAAGTGTCCCAATAAAGTAATGTCCCAAGATTAAATATCACTCTTAAAGTGTCCAAATAAAGTAATGTCGCAAGATTAAAAGAACCATCCGAGTTTTAGAGGGAATGATCCAGATTTTCGAGAACTCAAAATCCATTTTTTCAAAAATAATAATCTAATGATACTTGGATAAATCCCAAAAGTTCGGCTAACAAAAGATCCTCCTGAGGATCTTTTTTTGCCCAAGGTAGAGTTGTACAGTATACTCCCGGTGGAGCATGCTATACGCTGTTATACACCTACAATACTGATTGCCAGTTTCAAAAGTGCTACTTGAACAATTTGTTGTGTGCCTCAAATCACCATACTCGAGCAAACTCATATTTGATTATCCCCATTTAAACAATTTTTGTAAAAATTATAACTTTTGAGTCCTCAAAACCCTTAATATTCAATTGCAGAGACAATCCAGAAGAAATAATTGATTTGAAGCCTTCTTAATATAATATTATATAAAAACATAAATGAATATCTATCCAGTTGGTCTCCCCATAGCCCTTTATAAGGAGTGGTTTGTTCGAACACCAGGCGGTGCTTTAATGCCTTTAACATTACCTTAAGAAGTTTAATGCCGCAAAATTCAAAATTCTGAAAATCAAATAGTAACTTGGTAAAAAACTCAAAATTCAAAATTTTCATTTAAAAATAATCAAATAGTAACTTGGTAAAATTTTAGAAGAGCACTAAAAACTCAAAATTTTATTTTAAAAATAATCAAATATGTTAGAAGAGCACTAAAAACTCAAAATTCAACATTACCTTAAGAAGTTTAATGCCTTTAACATTACCTTAAGAAGTTTAATGCCGCAAGATTCAATAGGTCTAAGCTAAGTGTCACAAAACTCAAAATTCAAAATTTTCATTTAAACATAATCAAATAGTAACTTGGTAAAATTTTAGAAGAGCACTAAAAACTCAAAATTTTCTTTTAAAAATAATCAAATATTTTAGAAGAGCACTAAAAACTCAAAATTCAAAATTTTCTTTTAAAAATAATCAAATAGTAATTGTCATATGGTTCCCAAAATTTTAGAAGAGCACTAAAGAAGAAACAAAAAATCTCTACTTGTAATAAAAGTTTAAAAGTTTAATGCCCAAAATTGAAGAAAAAAAAAATCTCTACTTGTAATAAAATTTTAATGCCCAAAATTGAATAAGACTTAAGTGTCACAAAACTCAAAATTCAAAAATTTCTTTTAAAAATAATCATATAGTAACTGGTTCCCAAAATTTTAGACCAAAGAAAAAAATCATTGTAGGTAGGTCTTTTGGCCAAGGGAGTAGATGCGTGTGCTCTCCACACTCTATAAAAAATTTGAAAACATATGTGGTTTCTCTCCTGTCCAACATTTTCATTGCCAGGCATGGAAAGAACAAAAAAGCTCCCAAAGGAGGGGGCGGAAGTCGTAAATTGACCAATAAAAGTTTCCATTTGGTAATGAAGGAATCGGCATTGTGTGTGCACGTAATTTTCTCTAATACATACCAATGTTACTAAGAAGCCTCAAAAATTCACTAGAAGAGGTTATTTTGATACCCAAATATCTTCAAATTGATCATCTCATCCTCAAGATGCATAAGCATGACAAAAAATGAATTGCATGTCTTGAAAATAGTACGTCTTGTAATGCATTTTTGGACTGCCACTTTTTCAAGTTTTTAAGTAGTCATTGATTTGCTCGATCTACACTATTTTTAAAACTTAAAATTTTATAATTTTTATAAAAAAAAATAAATTTTCAAACCATCACAAAGATTTCCAATATTGAAACAATATCTTTCAATACTATTTGAAGGTGCGTCTTACTTTGATTGTTTAGGGCATAGGTCTTATACAAACCACGCCCTTAAATAGGTGGGTCAGTCCACATTAGTCCAACAGTTGGTCGAACTAGTTTGACCAAATTTTAAGAACACATAAAAAAAAAAAAAAAAAAAAAAAAAAGTAAAAGTTTCAAATATGTGATATATTAAAAAATATGTCCAACTTTGGTTAGTTGTTTGAAACGGATAGGTCACCTACGTCAAAACTGATCAAACATCGATTTTACCTAATCTTTTAGAAAACTTAATTTTTACTTTGGAACATACTTATTAACACACTAGTTGGCTGTATAATTGATTGGACCCCCACTTCGGCCCAGCCTCGACAACTATGTTATATATAGTTTACTTTTCTTTTTCCTGCCGTTCCGGATAAGGGTGAGTGATCCGCTCAAATTATCTGTTTTTTTTAGAACAGTTATGGTTTGTCCATGACTTGAATTTTTGCAAATCATCTTTCATTTGGTGAT